TTTGGCCCCTCCCAGGCCGGAAATTCCCAATTTTCTTTTGCATTTCCATGGATTTTCCCCTCCCAGGCTGGAAACTCCCAAATTTTGGGGTTTTTGCCCCAAACCCTCACTCCGGGCTCGGCTCCAGGCAGTTCCTGAGGGTCCCATCGTGGAGCAGCCTCTGCAGGAGCCTCTGGAATTCCTCAGAGCCCTTCTGGACTGAGAAAAAATGGGAAAAAAAATCATTAAAAACCACCCTGGAGTTAATGAGTTACTAATTATTAATTAATTGTTTATGAATTGATTATTTTTTGTGGGATTCAGGGATTGAAGGTCGTTTTCCTGATTATTTTTTTACCCAAATTCCTGAATTTTTGAGGAAGCAGGAAGACCCAGGAATCCCTTGGGACCTCTTTTGACCCACCCCAAATAATTATTGATTCATTATCAATTAATTAATAATTAATTCAATTTTTTTTCTCATGTCCCTGTCTTTTTTTTAACCAAAATTCCCAATTTTTTTTGGCAATCAGGAGCCCCCAGGAGCTGCTCTGACCCTCCCCCAATCAATTACTGATAATTATTAATTAACTATTCATTAATTACCAACTAACATATTAACTAACTACTATTTTATTCATATTCCTGTCTTTTTTAAAATCAAATTCCTGAATTTTTGAGCAATCAGGAAGACCCAGGAACCCCTCAGGACCTTTTTTGACCCCTTTGAAATTAATTATAAATTAATTCTTAATTAATTCCGCTGCTTTTTCCCCAAAAATCCCGAATTTTTGGGGTCTCCACCCATTTGGGGACTCGGAAATTTGGGATTTTGAGGGAAAAAGTCCCAAATTTGGGGGTTTTGGAGGCTCCAATCCCAACCTTTGGCAGCGAAAGCCTCAGGGTCGAATCCCTCGGATTGCTCCAGGACCTGCTGCAACTTCCGGGCAGAAAACTGGGGAAAAATGGGAAAAATTCAACAAAAAATGGGAAAAATCCAACAAAAAAGGGGAAAACTCAACAAAAAATGGGAAAAATTCAACAAAAAATGGGAAAAATCCAACAAAAATAGGAATTATCCAACAAAAAATAGGAAAAATGGGCTTTTATCCCAATTTTCTGAGGGTTAAAACAAAGATTTGGAGCCCAAACTCCTTTTTTTCGTGTGTGTGAGGAGTCTGGGAAAGGATTTTTTGGGAGGAAAATTCCAGGATTTTGGTAAATTCCAGAATTTTGGAGGATTTTAACATTTTCAGGAGGTGCTCCAGCCCTGGTAGTGCACCAAAATGCCAGGATTTGGGTAAATTCCAGGATTTTTGAGGTAATTCCATGATTTTTGTGAATTTTATGATTCTCAGGAGTTGCTCCATCCCTGGAAACGCCGAAAAATTCCTGAATTTTGGTGAATTCCAGGATTTTGGTTAATTTTAGGATTTTTCAGGAGCTGCTCAAGCCCTGGAAGGAGCAAAAAAATCCAGAATTTTGGGTGAATTTACCTGGAAGCTGGAGAGGAGGAGGAGGGAGAGACGTTGGACTTCAGGAAGATCCAGGCTGATGGATTTGCTCAAGTCTGGGAAAGAAAGGGTTAAAAATGGTGAAATTCCCAAAAAAACCAGCTGGAATTTCATCCAGAATTTCCCCAAAAGCAGCTGGGGCAGGGCAGGGTGTGGGAAAAGCAGGAAAAAAAAGGAGGAAAAATCAAATTTAAGGAGGAAAATGGGGGAAAGGAAGAGGAAAAATCGAATTTAAGGGTGAAATTGGGAAAAAATAGAGAGAAAAAGGCACAAAAGTGGGGAAAAAATCAAATTTAAGGTCAAGAATTGGGTAAAATCGGAAAAAAAATCCCATTTAAGGGACAAGAATAGAGAAAATTGGAAAAAGGAAGAGGAAAAGTCACATTTAAGGGGAAAGTCAGGAAAAGAAAGATGAAAAATCCCATTTAGGGAGCAAAAATGGGAAAAGGAAGATGAAAAGTCCAATTTAGGAGGAAAATCGGGAAAAGAAAAAAAAAATCATATTTTGGGGAGAAATGGGAAAAGAAAGAGGAAAAAATCCCATTTAAGGGAGGAAATGGGAAAAGGAAAAATCACATTTGGGGGGGGGACTAGGAAAAGAAAGAGGAAAAACCACATTTTTGGGGTAGGGAAATGGGAAAAGATGAAAAATCCCATTTAAAGAGAAAAACTGGAAAAAAAGAAGTGCCAAAAGTAAAGGAAAAAAGACAGAAACTTCAAAACCCTCACTGACAGACGCCTCAGCGCAGCGCCTCCAGCTCTCCTCAACCCCCCCTTGCCCACCCCCGAGATGGATTTTAATTAAAGCCACGGCAATTAGGCGCTAATGAAGCACGCACCGCGGAGCTCCTGGTGCACGGGGGGCAGCGATTTGCGGCGGGAGCGGCGGCCCTTGAGGCTGGAGCGGCGCCAGGAGCGGCGCTTGTCCTGAGGGCTGGCGACGAGCGGCGACAGTCGGAAGGACTTGAGCGGCGACTCCTTCCAGGGGCTGCCCGCGGCTCTTCTCTTCCTGCCCGACGAGCTCGGCGTGCCCTCCTTGCGGAGAGGTTTCAGAGGCGCCTCAGCGCCCGCTGCCTCGGCTGCCGAGTCCGCGTCTGAGGGGAAAAGAGGAGAAATCAGCGCAAAAAAGGGGAAAAGAGACTCGGTGGTGCCCGCGCTGCTCGCGGCTTCTTCATCCATGAGAGGAAATGGTTGTGAAAAGCTTGTTTTTAAAAGTTTAATAGGAATAAAATGGTTATAAAAATACTCCTCAGCATCTGCTGCCGAGTCCAGGTGTGAGGGGAAAAGAGGAGAAATCAGCGCAAAAAAGGGGAAAAGAGACTCGGTGATGCCCGGGCTGTTCGCGGTTTCTTGACCCATCAGAGGAAATGGTTGTGAAAAGCTTGTTTTGAAAAGTTTAATAGGAATAAAATGGTTATAAAAATACTCCTCAATATCGGCTGCAGAGTCCGGGTGTGAGGGGAAAAGTGGCGAAATCAGCGCAAAAAAACAAGAGACTCGGTGGTGCCCGGGCTGCGCCACCTGCTTCGGATTTCTTAGTTTCATGAGAGGAAATGGTTGTGAAAAACTGGGTTTTGAAAAGTTTAATAGGAATAAAATGAACATAAAAATATTCTCAACATCCGCTGCCGAGTCCGGGTGTGAGGGGAAAAGAGAAGAAATCAGCGCAAAAAAGGGGAAAAGAGACTCGGTGGTGCCCGGGCTGCGCTGCCTGCTTCGGATTTCTTAGTTTCATGAGAGGAAATGGTTGTGAAAAGCTTGGTTTTTGAAAGTTTAATAGGAATAAAATGGACATAAAAATGTTCTCAACATCCGCTGCCGAGTCCGGGTGTGAGGGGAAAAGCGGCGAAATCAGCGCAAAAAAGGGGAAAAGAGACTCGGTGATGCTCAGGCTGCTCGCGGTTTCTTGATCCATGAGAGGAAATGGTTGTGAAAAGCTTGTTTTGAAAAGTTTAATAGGAATAAAATGGTTATAAAACTACTCCTCAGCATCCGCTGCCAAGTCCGGGTCTGAGGGGAAAAGCGGCGAAATCAGCGCAAAAAAGGGAAAAAGAGACTCGGTGATGCCCGGGCTGCGCTGGCTGCTTCGGATTTCTTAGTTTCATGAGAGGAAACGGCTGTGAAAAACTTGTTTTGAAAAGTTTAATAGGAATAAAATGGTTATAAAACTACTCCTCTGCATCTGCTGCCGAGTCCGGGTGTGAGGGGAAAAGAGGAGAAATCAGCGCAAAAAAGCGCAAAAAAGGGTAAAAGAGACTCGGTGGTGCCCGCGCTGCTCGCGGTTTCTTGATCCATGAGAGGAAATGGTTGTGAAAAGCTTGTTTTTAAGGTTTAATAGGAATAAAACGGTCATAAAAATACTCCTCAGCATCTGCTGCCGAGTCCGGGTGTGAGGGGAAAAGAGGAGAAATCAGCGCAAAAAAGGGAAAAAGAGACTCGGTGGTGCCCGGGCTGCGCTGCCCGCTCGGGATTTCTTGGGTCCATGACAGGAAATGGTTTTATCAAGGATTTCAGAGCGCTGAACGTGGCTTTTGCGGCTTTATTTTTAAGCGGGAGTTTAGACAGATCCTGGAGGTTTTGGGGTTTCCAGGGATGGAGCAGCTCCTGAAAATGCTGGAATTTTTGGGCACTTCCAGGGCCTTAAAATACCAAAGTTGTCCCCAGATCCTGGCATTTTCGAGGCTGGAGAAAGCCCAAAATTCCCCCAAATCCAACTTTCTGGCTCGCCACCTCCCAAGCCCCAAAATCACCCAAAGCAGCTCCTCCCTCCACACAGAGCAGCGATTTCCTTCCCTGCCCTTACCTGGCGCGGCCCCTCCGCTCTCAGAGCTGTGTCCGCCGGGGCATCGCTGAGGGGAAAAACCGTTACCCGCCTGGAACCGCGGCCACCCCGCGGCTCCCCCGGCCGGGCTGGGACCTTCCGGCGCTCACCTCGTCCTCTTGCGGCCCGGCCGAGCCCCGCGGGGACGGGGCAGCGGCCGGGCCGGGGGAGCCGCCGGGTCCCACCACCACCTCCGCCATGGCGGTTTCCCGCCGCTCGCTTGCCCTCAGCGCCTTGCGCATGCGCGAAGCCCGCTCCGGCTTCGCCGCCATCACGGAGCAGGCGCGGGGCGGTGCCTGCCCTCACAGCGGGCACGGAGTCCGCTCCACCCTTCCCACCCCTCACGTTGTACCCTTCTTCCGTCCTTCGCCCTCTTCCCGCCTTTCGCGCTCCTCACGCTGTTCCCACCGTGTCTCAACTCTCACTCTGTACCTTCCCCTCACGCCATTCCCGCCCTTTTCCCACCCCTCACGATCTTCCCGCCCTTTTCCCTCCCCTCACGATCTTCCCGCCCTTTTCCCACCCCTCACGATCTTCCCGCCCTTTTCCCTCCCCTCACGATCTTCCCGCCCTTTTCCCTCCCCTCACGATCTTCCCGCCCTTTTCCCACACCTCACGGTCCTCGCCGAGCCCAAACCTCAGAGAAAAAAAATCAGGAGAAAGTGGGGAAAAAAAGGGAAAAAAAAAAAGGCTTTGGAAATTTATTTTCTTTGATAAAGTCTCAACTGAAAAGGGCGGACTCTGAAAACAGCACCAGAACGGCACAAACCCCCTCGAATTCCCATGGGGAAATCCCGTGGTTCGGCTGTTTTGTGGTCAATTTGGGGTTTTTCATTTTATTTTTGTACTTTTTCACCAGAAAAAGTGAAGCCATGGAATTTCCCAATACAAAATCCCTTGGAATGACACCAGCGGAAGGTCCGGCCTGCGAGTGATGTCCAGCGAGAAGTTTGGTAAAGCAACTTTCCCATTAATTAGCTAAATTAATTAAGAAAAATTTCCTATAGAAATTTCGTATGGAATTCCCTATAGAAAATTCCAATACAGAGAACATCCAATTACAGTAGGGAGGGGATTAATTCATCTGGAACAGAAATCCCAGCGTAAAAAATCGCACGGAAATGAAAATAAATCCATTTTTTTCCGCTGTAAAACTGGAGACAAAACGCCAAGGCGTTTTTTTTTTCCCTTCTTCTTCAGGTTCTTGGTGTAAAATCCAAGTTTTTTCCTTAAAAAAACGTCATTTTCTGAGGCGAAATGAAGTTATAAATAATCCCGAGTCGGCGCTGAGAGGTAGAGGTGTCGCTGCCATCACAATCTATTGGCTTGTTCTGAGGTAATTAATTCATTGCGAGTCAGTCATTTGATCGGCCCGTGATTAATTAACGTTAATTGACCTCTCTCCTCTCAAAAAGGTCCTTTTTCATTAAGAAATCTTTAATTGGAGGCGTCGCTGCCCAGGTCGGCGGCGGGGGAGGTGATGGACGAGGGGGTGGCGGCGTCCTGCCAGCTGCCATTGGCCTGAGGGGACAGAAAATGTCATTAATTCCTATTAATTGGCATTAAATCATCAAGAAATTACCTGTAGATGGCATTATAGGGCACGGTGTGTTTGGAGGTGAGGGTGGTTTTAAAAGGAAAGAGCAGATCCGCTCCACCCTTCCCACCCCTCACGATGTCCCTGCCCTTTTCTCGGCCCTCAAGACATTCCCGTTCTTTTCTCGCCGCTGGCCTTGTTGCCGCTCCTCACGATCTTGCCGCCTTTTCCCTCCCCTCAAGACGTTCCCACCTTTTCCCGCCCCTCACGTTGTTCTCTTCTTCCACCCCTCACACCCTTCATGCTCCACAAGGCCTTTTCCCACCATGTCTCAACTCTCGTCCTGTACCTTCTCCTCACACCAGTCGCACGCTTTTGAAGCCCTTCAAGATCTTCCTGCCCTTTTCCCGCCCCTCACCTCCCCGCCTTTTTCCCGCCCCTTCCTGCCCTTTCCCCCCCCCTCACACTCTTCCTGCCCTTTTCCCACCCCTCAGCCCTTCCCACCATTTTCTCACCCCTCACACCCTTCCTGCCTTTTTCCCACCCCTCACGATCTTCCCTCCATTTTCCCGCCCCTCACCATCTTCCCTCCATTTTCCCGCCCCTCACCATCTTCCTGCCCTTTTCCCACCCCTCACGAACCTCCCGCCTGCCGAGCTCAAACCTGAGAGAAAAAAAATCAGGAGAAAATGGGGAAAAAAAAGGAAAAAAAAAAAGGCTTTGGAAATTTATTTTTTGGATAAAATCTCAACTGAAAAGGGTGGACTCTGAGAACAGCTTTTATTTGTATGTTTATAATTTGGTGTAAATATAAAAATGTAATTTATGTATTTATATAAATATGTACATTTTATATATTAAATCTATATAAATATCATATAAATTTATACACTTTTTCATTTATATATCAATTTATAATGTAAAATATATTTTAAAGGTATTATTAAGTATATTTGTAATTTATACATTTAAATCTGAATTTATATACTTTATTTAATGTATTTTATGCATTTAATGTATTGAATGTTTTATAAGAATAAAAATAATAATAACGGTGACTTATAACAATTTATATATATAAATGTACACAAAATTTCATAAATAAATAGCATATTTATTAGTATAACTATATATTATTTTATAATATAGATAAATTAATAATCGATATAAAGTTATATAATTTTATTTAGTATTTTATACATATTAATTTACTATAGATTAAATATATAATTATTTATATTTGAATATATAATTATTTATATTTAAATATATTAATAATAAATATTAAATATGTTATATATGTAAATAATAAATATACATATATTAATAACAATATCAAACATCTTAATAGGTTTAAACATTTTAAAATTCATCATTTAAATTCCATTTTTCCAACTTTTTCCCCCCATCCCAACATCGGCCGTTTAGGGGGAAATAATAAAAATACAATTAAAATTACAAGTAAAATAAATTCAAAATAAGAATTGAAAGAAATGGAAAGAAATGCAATTTGTGGGTAATGTTTGATGAAATCCCAACTCACATCGAGGCGCTGCGTGGAGTACAAAGGGCTCCCCACGAGGGGCTCGAACCTCCCCGGCTGCTGCAGGACGTGCTGCAGGGAATCCAGCTGAAAATCCAGGGAAAAAATTAAAAATAAAGTTAGAAAATGAATTTAAAAATTCCCAAAACGGGAATTTGTCAGGTGGAGTTTGTGAGGGAATCCAGCTGAAAATCCAGAAAATAAAGGGAAAGAAAAAGTGAAAAATAAAGTTAGAAAATGAATTTAAAAATTCCCTAAGTGGGAATTTGTCAGGTGGAGTTTCTGAGGGAATCCAGCTGAAAATCTGGGAAAGAAAAAGTGAAAAATAAAGGTAGAAAATGAATTTAAAAATTCCCAAAGTGGGAATTTGTCAGGTAGAGTTGATGAGGGAATCCAGCTGAAAATCCAGGAAAAAAATTAAAAATAAAGTTAGAAAATGAATTTAAAAATTCCCAAAATGGGAATTTGTCAGGCAGAATTGCCGTAGGAACAAAGGATTGGAGGGAGAGGAGGGATTGGAGAATTCGGTACAAATTTAGGGGATTTTAATCAGAATTTTAGTAGGAATTTCAAATGAGAGGAGGGAATTTATGGATTTAATAAGGAGAATTTTAATAGGAATTTTAGTGGGAATTTCAAGTGAGAGTGGCAGATTTCTGGATTTAATAATGAGAATTTTAATAGGAATTTTAGTGAGAATTTCAAGTGAGAGTGGGAGATTTCTGGATTTAATAATGAGAATTTTAATAGGAATTTGAATAAGAATTTTAGTGAGAATTTCAAGTGAGAGTGGGAGATTTCTGGATTTAATAATGGGAATTTTAATAAGAATTTTAGTGGGAATTTTAGTGAGAATTTCAAGTGAGAGTGGGAGATTTCTGGATTTAATAATGGGAATTTTAATAAGAATTTTAGTGGGAATTTTAGTGAGAATTTCAAGTGAGACTGGGAGATTTCTGGATTTAATAATGAGAATTTTCATAAGAATTTTAGTGGGAATTTTAGTGAGAATTTCAAGTGGGAGTGGGAGATTTCTGGATTTAATAATGAGAATTTTCATAAGAATTTTAGTGGGAATTTTAGTGAGAATTTCAAGTGGGAGTGGGAGATTTCTGGACTTAATTATGACAATTTCAATAGGAATTTTCATAAGAATTTTAGTGAGAATTTCAAGTGAGACTGGGAGATTTCTGGACTTAATAATGAGAATTTTAATAGGAATTTTAGTGAGAATTTCAAGTGGGAGTGGGAGATTTCTGGACTTAATTATGACAATTTCAATAGGAATTTTCATAAGAATTTTAGTGAGAATTTCAAGTGAGACTGGGAGATTTCTGGACTTAATAATGAGAATTTTAATAGGAATTTTAGTGGGAATTTCAAGTTGGGAGTAGGGGATTTATGGATTTAATAATAATAAATAAGATTAATTAAATAATAGAATAAGGGAGAATTTCAATAGGAATTTTGGGGAGAATTTTAATGGGAATTTTAGAATTTCCCTGAGAATTTTGGAGATAATTTCACAATTCCAGTGGGGATTCCACTGAGAATTTTAAGAAGAATTTCATTAGGAATTGAAGAATTGATTTAGGAATTTCAGCAAGAAATTCAGATTTTAAGTGGGAGTTTCAGTGAGAATTTCATTGAAAATTTCAGAATTTCAATAGGAATTTCCCAATTTAATGAAAACTTTCCCTCTGAATTCCAACGGGAATTTCAGTGAAAATTTTGGATTTTCAGTAGGAATTTTACAAACTATTTCACTCCTAATCCCACCAGAAATTTCAGATTTTCAGCAAAATCTGCAATTTAAACAATCCCAAACTTTTAAAGACCCCTGAAAATTCAAAAAATAATCTGAAGGCATCAATTCCTCTGGGATCCAGGGCAGAAATCTGGATTTTCTTCCCCATTTTTCCATCTGGGATCCAGGGCAGAAATTTGGATTTTTCCCCATTTTTTCCTCTGTGATCCACGACCGAAATTTGGATTTTTTCCTCTGGGATCCAGGGCAGAAATTTGGATTTTTCCACATTTTTCCTCTGGAATCCAGCCAGAAATTTGGATTTTTTCCCCTGGATTCCAGGCAGAAATGTGGATTTTTTTCCCCATTTTTTCCCTGTGACCCAGTCAGAAATTTGAATTTATTTCCCTTTTTTTCCTCTGGATTCCAGTCAGAAATTTGAATTTATTTCCCATTTTTTCCTCTGGATTCCAGTCAGAAATGTGGATTTTTTTCCCCATTTTCCCCCTGTAATCCACTCAGAAATTTGAATTTTTTCCCCATTTTCCCCCTGTAATCCACTCAGAAATTTGAATTTTTTCCCCATTTTCCCCCTGTAATCCACTCAGAAATTTGAATTTTTTCCCCATTTCCCCTGTAACCCAGTCAGAAATTTGAATTTTTTCCCCATTTTCCATTGTAATCCAGTCAGAAATTTGAATTTATTTCCCATTTCCCCTGGATTCCAGTCAGAAATTTGGATTTTTCCCCATTTCCCCTGTAACCCAGTCAGAAATTTGAATTTTTTCCCCATTTCCCCTGTAATCCAGTCAGAAATTTGAATTTTTCCCCCATTTTTCCCCCTGTAACCCAGTCAGAAATTTGAATTTTTCCCCATTTCCCCTGTGACCCAGTCAGAAATTTGGAATTTCTTCTCTGTAACCCAGTTAGAAATTTGAATTTTTCCCCATTTTCCCCCCTGTGACCCAGTCACAAATTTGAATTTATTTCCCATTTCCCCTGTGACCCAGTCAGAAATGTGAATTTATTTCCCATTTCCCCTGTGACCCAGTCAGAAATGTGAATTTATTTCCCATTTCCCCTGTGACCCAGTCAGAAATGTGAATTTATTTCCCATTTCCCCTGTGACCCAGTCAGAAATGTGAATTTATTTCCCATTTCCCCTGTGACCCAGTCAGAAATGTGAATTTATTTCCCATTTCCCCTGTGACCCAGTCAGAAATGTGAATTTATTTCCCATTTCCCCTGTGACCCAGTCAGAAATGTGAATTTATTTCCCATTTCCCCTGTGACCCAGTCAGAAATGTGAATTTTTCCCCATTTCCCCTCTAACCCAGTCAGAAATGTGAATTTTTCCCATTTTTTCCCCCCTGTGACCCAGTCAGAAATTTGGATTTTCCCCCATTTTCCCCCCTGTAACCCAGTCAGAAATTTGGATTTTCCCCCATTTTCCCCCCTGTAACCCAGTCAGAAATTTGAATTTTTTCCCATTTTTCCCGTGGATTCCAGTCACAAATGTGAATTTATTCCCCATTTTCCCTGGATTCCAGCCAGAAATGTGAATTTATTCCCCATTTTCCCCCCTGTAACCCAGTCAGAAATTTGGATTTTTCCCCCTGTGACCCAGTCAGAAATTTGGATTTTTCCCCCATTTTTCCCCTGTAACCCAGTCAGAAATGTGGATTTTTCCCCATTTCCCCTGTGACCCAGTCACAAATTTGAATTTATTTCCCATTTCCCCCTGTGACCCAGTCAGAAATTTGAATTTATTCCCCATTTTCCCTGGATTCCAGTCACAAATTTGAATTTATTTCCCATTTTCCCCCCTGTGACCCAGTCAGAAATTTGGATTTTTCCCCCCAATTTGGATTTTCCCCCATTTTCCCCCCCGTGACCCAGTCAGAAATGTGGATTTTTTCCCCCCTCTAACCCAGTCACAAACGGTGCCCGTCCCTCACCGGGGGCTGCGCGCCGGCCGGGCTCCGCTGCGACGCCGGGGGCTGCAGCCCCAGGAAGGAATCCCCGGAATTCATCTGGAAAGACCCAGAGGAAGCTGAAAAAACGACAAAAAAACCCAAAAATGAAATTAAAATAGAGAATTGGAATGGGTTATTAATGCAGCCAAAATGGTTCCTCAGGAGGGGTAAAAGGGGAATAAAAAAAGGGATAAAAAAGGGAATAAAAAGGGGATAAATGGAATAAAAAAGGGAATAAAAATGGGAATAAAAAAGGGAATAAATGGAATAAAAAATGGATTAAAAAAGGGAATAAATGGAATTAAAGGGGGGATAAAAAAGGGGAATAAAAAAGGGAATTAATGGAATAAAAAGGGGGATAAAAAGGGGAATAAAAAAGGGAATAAAGAAGAGAATAAATGGAATAAAAAATGGATAAAAAAAGGGAATAAATGGAATAAAAAGGGGATAAAAAAGGGAATAAATGGAATTTAAAGTGGGATAAGAAAGGGAATAAAAAAGGGAATAAAAGGAATTTAAAAGGAATAAAAATGGGAATAAAAAAGGGAATAAATGGAATAAAAAAAGGGGATAAAGAAGGGAGTAAATGGAATTAAAAGGGAATAAAAAAGGGGAAAAAAAGGGAATAAATGGAAATAAAAGGGGATTAAAAATGGGAATAAATTGAATTAAAAGGGAATAAAAAAGAGAATAAATGGAATTAAAGGGGAATAAAAAAGGGAATAAAGGGAATAAATAAGGGGATAAAAAAGGGAATAAATGGAATTAAAAGGGGATAAAAAAAGAAATAAGAGGGATTTTAAAAGGAAATAAAATTGATTAAAACAGGAAATAAAAGGAAAAAATATAAAGGAGATAAACAGAAATAAAATTAAATCGATGGAAATAAAATTAAATATGAAGGAAATAAATGGAAATAAACAAAGAGAAAAATAAATAAATGGAAATGAAGGCAAATAAATGGGAAAAAATTACATTATAAATAAATAAAATGAAATAAAAGTGATATAAATGGAAATAAAATTCAACTAATTACATTATAAATAAATAAAATGAAATAAAAATGAAATAAAATGAAATAAAATTCAACTAATTACATTATAAATAAATAAAATTAAATAAAAATGAAATAAATGGAAATAAAATTCAACTAATTACATTATAAATAAATAAATAAAGTGAAATAAAAATTATATAAATGGAAATAAAATTCAACTAA